ACAGTCATCCACCCAAACACCACGCTGGTGCGCCACCAAGCGAGCAATACCATCAGCAACACAACACGACCAACGACACGACCAACAACTAACGACACACACACATCAGTGGGCGTTACAGTTGGGTACCAGGAATAGCCAACGGCGAGCGAGTGTCGGTAGTGCTCCTTGTGGAAGCGTGTGATGAGGACGTGGTAGAGTAGGAGAATCACCACGACCGAGAGAACGAGAAGGAGGAAAGAGAACTTGAAGTAGAAGATCGGCCCTGCCATGCGCGGTAAAGAAGAAGTCATCCATCATCATCATAGTCATTGGCCTTTCGTACAAGGCAAAGCATACAATGTTTGAGAGTAGTACCGTGGGTGACCTCGACTAAGCGGCAGGTCCACAGGGAAGACATGTTGAAGGCCAAGTGGAGAAGGTTGACATGGCCTGTGCAGGTGGGAGCGGTAGTGAGTAAGATGGATGCTTGAGCAAAGGTGATGACGAAGGTTGCGTTTTGAGCAGTACTCAGGGAAGCGGTTACGGCTCGCCAGTAGTGGCCCTGCTCCACCACCTTCTCGTACGATAGACCTATGTCCTCATATCTGGGGGCGGGGCTAAATCAGAAATGATGACACGATTGTGAGAGTTTCATCCGCTGTACCGATTCCGCGCCAGTTGATCCAGAGCCAAGAGAGGCAGCATACGAAGACGATGGACGCAGTGGCAGGAGTCTCCAACACCTCGTAGATGAGCGGTGCGCCCATCCACGTCTCTTTTCAACTTGAACGCTGTGCACAAAAGAAACTGGCGGGAAACCAACCAATTAATTTACACAACCATTTGAGATCTGATGTGATGAGATCGAGATGGAGCGGCCAAATCCCTTCAGAGCGAGAGTGGCCTCAAGAATGTACAGGACAGAATGAATAGATAAAACCATTTTACTGAATGTCGAATCCCTCACTTCGCAGGCAAACCTTGTGGAGCTCGATGGGTTCCTGGCACTTCTCCTCGCCGAACTGGAAGATGCACTCGTCCCTCACCTTCTTCGTGTCCTTGCACACGCAGCAGATGCGCTTGCCGGCGGCATTCGTCGTCGGCGCAGCAGCAGCGGCAGGAGCGGCAGATGTGGAGGAAGTAGCGGTAGCAGAGCTCATGATTTTGTTTGAGTGTTTCCGCGATGGGGACTGTGTGGCGATGCGAAGGCCGGAAGAAATCGATCAATGCAAGATGGCGTCACGACAATTTCGTAATCTCCCGCTTCTGTTCTCTTGTCGCCGCAAGGGACAAGCATTTCCAGGTAAATACGTCGCATACCACGCATACTCCGATTTTAGGACAGCTTTTCTGCCGCAGAGTAAAAGAGAAAGAAAATACAAATTGAATCGCCAAGATGGAGATCGAATCTTCGGCCATTCCCGAGGCGGTCAAGGCCAACATCCATCCGGACTTCTGCTACTTGCGCATACGACTGTAATTCTAGAGGCACAACTTTGTTGACAATTATTCGTTTTTGGATTTTACTTTATTGAACATGATCGATGTTGCTACAGGGTGGTGCAGCAGCGTGAGGAGCGGCGGACAGGCCTCCACGAAGAGCCATTCCGCGCGGCCCTGCTCCAAGCCGTCACCAGCTTCTTCGGCCACGGCCTCGCCGGTACCACCCGCTACAGGCTACACGCAGCGCAGTCTCATTCCTCTACACGCCGCTCACGCCGCTCATACCGCACACGCACGCACGCAGGTGCTGGCCTGTGCGACCGGTTGGTCTTCGTCACATACAACCACCGCACCAACACCGGCATCGTCCGCGTGCCCGCCAGGTACAGGCCGACTGATGATAGCCACAGCCACACGACACACACACACGACACACACACGACACACTCGGCTCTCAGTCTCACCCTTGGCTTGGCTGACAGTGATCTGACTGCCCTGTGGGGAGCGCTCACCCTCACGTCTCGAGCTAATGGCGACTCTTGCCGATACGAAGTGCGTGCACACTGTGCGTCGTGTGCGTTGTGTGTGTCGTGTGTGTTGCGTGTGCGGTGCATGCATTTAATGGTAGGCTGGCGTGGTCCTGTAGGTGGAGCGCGCAACGCCATTCCTTCCCTCGCTGGGGGCCACCTCGCGGGAGTTCTTCGACGATTTTGCAGTTGAGCTGGGTCTGCGCCAGGCCACCACCGACGAAGCCAGTACCTAAACAAAACAAACGTAACAAACACAAACTAAACACAAACCATGAGCTCACGCAATGACCTGGCGTGATGTCGCCAACCTCAGCTTGGTCAGCACCCCGCAGGTACTTGCTTGCACTGTTGCTGGGTGCAGGGAGATGGAGGGTAAGGGATGTCGGATATGGCCCCGAGCGGGACCGTGTTGGATACGGCCATACTGCGCATAAAGCACCGCTTCCCATCCGAACAGCGAAGTTGTGGCGCCAGGCGGTGTTAGTACTGGGGTGGGCGACCACCCGGGAATCCACCGTGCCCGTATCCTTTTGGCATTTGCAGGCACACACCCCTCTCATCCTTTTTGCTTCGCTCTCGCCTCTCGACCTGTCACGTTTCGATCTCTTTTAGATTCTTATGGGCATTTCACGATCCAAACAACAACTGGGCAGTAGAACATACACCAAGCCGTCCTAGCTCAGTCGGTAGAGCGCATCTCCTTCAATGCAGTGTATCTTGCAACTCTAAGCCAGAAGGGGAATGAAACGCGAAGCCGTCCTAGCTCAGTCGGTAGAGCGCAAGACTCTTAATCTTGTGGTCGTGGGTTCGAGCCCCACGGTCGGCTATCTCTCTTTTTGTTCACAGCCAAGTAACAGTTGCCGGGCACGTGATGGATGGCCGCAGTCCTCTTTTACAGTCAGATCTTGGAAGCCGCGGTGTTGGGTCCTGAGGTGTTGGGGGGGGGGGCAGACGCAGTGTTGGCCAAAGATTTCTAAAATAAAATGATTGTAGTACCAGCTACGGTGATGTGTGAAGTGTACAGCGCGAACTACTCCTCGACGAAGAGGAGCCGCTTCTTGTTGCTGGCTGCGGGACCCTTGGCGGTGTGCAGGGACTTAAGCTCGATGGCGCCCTCGGCGATAACGGGCGAGCGCGAGGGAGAGAAGTAGTACGACGAGGCCGCCGGCGATGCGCCCTCCACGCGCGCTCGCTTCGACGGCGTCGTGTTGTTCGTCACCAACTGCACGTGCGTGAGTGTCGTGTGTCGTGTTGTGTTGTGTCGTGTGTCGTGTGCGTACCCGCAGCTTGGTCGGAGTGATGAACGACTTCAGGTCGCTGGCGTCGCCCGACTTGATGTTGGGACTGTTCTCCTTGTCCTCGTCATCGAATTTCCTGTGACGTCATCATCATTAGCCCTCGTGTGCCCTTTCGCGCGTGTGCGATTGTGTGCGGTCATGTATGTATCGTGTGGCGTGTGCGTGTGCGATCGTCGTGTGCGGTCGCGTACCTCTTGACGGACATGCGCTTGGGGCGGATCTTCTTGGGCCGACGGCTCGGGGTGTCCTTGACCGGACTCAGCGGCGACGCCGCGGGGCTCGTGAACGCGCCCGACGCCGACGACGAGATCAGCGACCGCAACGCCGACCGACCGCCTTTCGTCGCCGGCGACCGCCGCGACGGCGAGGACGACGAAGACGGCGACGACGACACGGCGGCGCTGATGCGTCGCTTGGCCGCCCGCGACGGCGACGACGACGAGGCGGCGAGGGGCGACGACGGCGAGCCGAGGGCGGTCGACCGGCGGAGCGGCGACGAGGCCTGGCGCGCGGGCGGCTGCCGGTGGCGCGGCCGCTGGCCATGCATGGCCGCCGGCATCGGTGTCTGCACGCCGCGCGCGACGGCCTGCGATGATTTTAGCTCCGACGTCGTCGTCGTCGCCAGCGCTGAAGCTTTTACCTCCGAAGCCGAGCGGTGGTGGTGTTGGCGGTGGAACTGGTGGGGCGGCATCAGGTGGGGCGCGGCGGGTCGGAGCTTGGCCGAGGCGGGGAACGGCGTCGTGGGCCGAAACCCAGCCGGCTGGGCCGGCTTCTGGTGGTGTCGCGCCGGCGTCGTGGCGGCGGCGGCCACGGCGGCCTCGGCCCCGGCGATGGCGGTGGTGGTCATGCGTCGCTTGGTGGGCGCGGTGAAGGGCGAGGCGAGAAAGGGGATCGCCGATGAAGAAGTCGACGACGCTGTGGAGGCGTTGTTGCGGGGCTGGAAGGGGGAGGAGAGGGAGATCTTGGAGCGAACGGGCGTCGGGAAGGCCGAGAACATGCGCTGGAACAGGGACGACGAGGGCGCGTCGCCGGCGGCGGCGGCGGTGGTGCGGAGCGGAGTGGAGGGGGCCATGCGCTGGGGCGTGGACGGGACGCCGCCGAGCGTTGCGCGGCGAGTGGGCGGAGGGGGAGCCGCGGCGGCGGCGGCCACCTTGGCGTGGGCCTGCTCCAGCAGGTCGTCGATGTCCAACGCCGCCGCACCTGCAAGACGTGCCACGTGACACGTCAGCAAAACCGCACACGCACACCGCACGCGCACGACCGCACACACGGTGTGGTGGAAGGGGGGGGGGCGAGCGCATACGTTGCATGACGGGGGCGGTGCGGAGCTTGTCGACGGGCACGTTGAGGAGGTAGGGCAGGATGCGTTCGATGCCCTGGCGGCTCAGCAGCTCCTCGGCGCAGCCCTCCAGTATGGCCAGCGCGAAGCGGAACAGAGCCGACGTCCTGCAGAGCCGGCCGCCCATCGGTCAGTCCCAGCCTCGAGGCCTCGAGCTGCCACCAGGCGGGGGCGGGAGGGGGCGGGAGGGGAGTAGATTACCCCTCGACAAAGACCATGTCGTAGATGGCGAGGACGAGCTCCCAGTTGGGCAGCTGGGTGTAGAGGGAGAGGAACCAGGGCGTCATGTACATGAGCACGTCGAGCCGGTGCCGGTCGAGGTGGGCCGCCAGCTCGGGCAGGTGCAGCGCCAGCACCTCGTGGAACAGGGCCGCGTCCTTGATCAGCCCCTCCATCCCCGGCTCGTAGTACCTCGACATCCTACATCGTGCGGTGCGCGTGTGCGGCGGGCGCGTGCGGTTAGCGTGTGCGGTTGGGTAATGACGACACACGCACGCCGCATACGCGCGCGCATACCCGTGGCCGTCGAGGATGATGGCGAGGAGCCAGAAGGCGAGCTCGTTGAGGGTCGACGTGCGGTCGTCCTCGGCGGCGAGCAGGTCGTCGTTGAAGAGGACCGCCATGAGGCCGCCCACCACCGGGGCCATGCCCTGGCAGTACCCCAGCGACGTGTTCAAGCACGAGTAGGCCTTCAGCACGTCGAACAGGTGGTCGCACCTGCCGCACACACCGCACACACCGCACACACAGCACACGCGTGTTAAGGCGCTGTGTGGGTCGTGTTGTGTCGTTGGTCGTATCATGTCGTGCGGTGAGCGTACTTGTCGGGAATGGCGGTGAAGATGGCGTTGTCGACGAGGGTGCGATCGAGGTCGAGCCTGATCTGTTCCACCGCCTTGCTCTCGTCCTTGTTCAACAGCAGCCTCTGACACACGACACACACAACACGCACCACCGCACACGCACACGCATCACCGCACACGCACGACCGACCACCGCACGCGCACACATGAGCGAAAACGCGGACGTTGGGTGCGTGGGGAGGGAGTGTGTGGTGGTACCGCGTAGAGGGCGGGTTCGTTGGTGCGCTGCTGGGCGGCCCACGGGTGGGCGTAGCACAGGGCACGCCACAGCGACGCGCGGTACTTGGTTGGCACGCCGCCCATTACCATCCCTCGCAACTGCGTGTGTCACGACACGACACACACGACATACGACACACGCATTTTTTCAGCACACGACACGACACGACACGCGAAACACGACACGACACCACCGCACACGCACACACGCGCGAACCTTGGTCTTGGAGTGTACGGCGGTGGAGCTGTCGGTGGCGACGACCTGGCGCCATTTGGCCTCCTCGGCGGCCTCGCGGGCCTGCTGGGCCAGCTTGCGCTGGTCGGCCTCGGCGTAGAGCGAACGGAAGTCGTCGTGCTCCCCGGTCAGCTCCCGCTCTTGTTCGTCGTCGTCTTCGTCTTCTTCTTCTTGCTGTTCCTCTTTCTCACCATCTTCCTCTTCATCTCGTTCGTCATCGTGCTCGGTCTCTACGTGACGGTCGATTTGGTGATCGTCTTGATGATGCTCGCGCTCGTCGACAATATTAATATCTTCATCATCGTCTTCTTGAAGGAGGACTGCGGCAAACTCGGAATTGTAATAATTGGCTTCGAATGGGGTCTTCCTCTTGTTGACGTCATCGCCGACGCAGTTGGTAGATGGAGACGAGCCCGAGGATGAAGATGAAGCCGGCGAGGGCGAGGTGGATGAGGACGCCTTTCGTCCGCCAACCCTCCTTCGCTTCTTTTTCACTATACGGCGCGTGCTGATCTGTAGTTCATCCTCCTTTGCGGTCTCGTCTTCGAAATCGAGCCGGCGGCGTTTGAGATGGAGCGATCGAGCCGACATCTTGTGTGGCGAATATAAAAATAAAAAAATGCGCAAGTTTTACAAAAAATCACACACTACAACAAATCCTCCAAGGATGGTTGTGTGTGTGTAAAGATGATGACGATGGTGAGGCTGTGCGTGGAGTACACGAAACACTTGCGTTTGTGTGTGGTGTTGTTGGGGTTGCACAACGGTGGCCGTTACGAAAACCGCCAAAGGCCGATTGGCGCCAAGAATTGTTTGGGAATGTTAGGAATGTTGACTGGAATGCAGCTGTTGCCTGGCAAGCAGCGATCCCTGGAAATATATTGACCTTTTATGGATAAGACCTAAACAAGAGAAAGCTGCCTTATGTTGAGGGAGGCATCTGAAGCGTGTTTCATTTGCCGCTTCAGTTCACCAGAGCCTCTCAACCAAAACATACACAGACAGAAGCGGCCAGAGAGGAACTCGCCACAAGAGAAGAGGCTGAAGGCGCCCAGAGATTTGAGTTCCAGAGCAGAGCAGGTGGCCGTCGACGCTCATATAGAGATGGCCGCCTCCAGCGCCTCGGGCCACGGCTACCACCAGCTTCACTACTCGGTTGCCCATCCACAGCCCCATCACTTCTTCACCCGCCCTCGACGAGACACACCCTTCCCACAGAGGGGAAAGCCGCCAGCGCCCCAGTCTTCTTCTTCTCCATCACCGTCACCATCATCCTCGTCTTGGGGCTGCTCGTCGCCCCACAAGACTACCGCTCGCCTCTCCTCGACAGCCCCCGCGACCAACGGCTGGACCTCGACCGCGACCACCGCGACTACATCCCAACCGTACTGGGCTGTCAAAATCGAGAAAGAGGCCGAAGCTGATCGGGTTGAAGATGGTGAAGATGGTGAAGAGGAGGAGGAAGGCGATGATAAATTCTCTGGTGAAGAGGAAGAGGAAGACCGCTATAATGGAGGGGGCGGGAGTGATGTAGAGGAGGAAGATGAACGGGGAGAAGAAGGTGAAGTGATCGATTTGGCGTACGACATCGAAGACGACAAGATGGTGTGGTCCCACCAGAGCAGAAGCGATTCGGACGAGGAGGAGGACGTGGAAGAGTTCGAGGACGATGCCGAAGACCACGACAAAAGGGAAGGGTGCGGCCCTGGCAAGACCCCCAACCTCTGCAGCGGCGACGACGACCATGTACGTAGGGGCCGCGAGCGACTCCCCTTGGCTCGAGCGAGGAAGCGAGAGCGGGAGTAGCGAAGTACGAGCTGCGACCTCTACTCGCAGCGCCCAAGACAAAGATTGGGATGAGGGTGGGGGCTACGACGTGGGGGCCGACGACCAGGAGGTGAACGATGGTGACTCCTCTGACGAAGAAGAAGAGGAAGAATGCACCACCACCGACCACTACTCGCAGTCTCAGCCGCCTCCCTCCTCGGCCCCGGCGGTCGACGTGCCTGCTCCAGCAGCTCCGGCAACAGCTCAGGAGGGGGACCTGAGCGGTGGCTACCCGATCGACTACCTGGGGCTGGCTGGCGAAGGCGACCAGGACGCTTTGGCGTTTGATTGTGACTTCCTCCTCGAGCTGCTTCGCGCCGAGGAGCTCAACAACGGCGAATGCGACATGGGGGTTGCAGCAGCGGCCCAGCAGCAGCAGCCTCTACACCAGCAACGCCATTCTCATCTTCAACAGCAGCATCAGCAGCACCCCGACCCGCCTCAGCGCCAGACCCACCACCACCACCACGGCTCCTCTACGTGGAGCCGACCCGACCAAGGCCAAGGCCGAGGCGAGGCCGACGGCAGCACCCTCAAGCAGCTCCTAGAGTCGTACAGGGGCCAGCAGCCCTACGCCCAGGCCCACACCCAGGCCCAGGCTCTACACGACGACCAGTCCCCCCAGGCCCAGGTCGAGGGGGCGAGCTGCGCTTCGGCCGTGGCGGGGGGCATGGTGAGCACGACCAAGACCCTGGCCCAGCTCTTCGGCCTGCCGCAGCCGCTCTACCTGTCAGCCTCCAACCCGAGTACCACGCTCAGCGCGCTGGAGGCGCTGAACCAGCACCGGCGGCGAAGCAAGACGCGCGAGGCCGCGGTCGTCCTGCCGCCCTCGCTCACCCCCTTCCTGTCGCAAATGACCGCCTACCTCACCCCCTCCATCGCCGACCCACAAGAAGGTGCTCATTCCATGCATTCCTCTGTTAGTCGTTGACAACGAAACATTGACATGTGATCTATGTCCAAAGCAGATGGTTCCACTGCAACTGGCGGGAGTCCTACCACGAAGCGAAAGAGCACCGTAACCTATGGTAATACAGCTTTCTTTCCTTCTTTCGTTGCTCGCATGTGGCTTTGGAGTGGCTGATGACGGCCAACTATGCATGGAATGCAGCGCCCCTACCACTCTTGCACGCGGAGGCCAAGAGAGCGAGGGCCGAAGCGAGCGACCACCTGGCGGCCCACCAGCGCAACCTGATGTATGGCGGACACCAGCTGCAGGAGGACGTGGCGTCGCACATGGAGGGCGAGACCGGCGGGGGTCACATCGACAGCCTGCTGACCTACCTCGACTCGCCGATGAGCATCTCCTTCGACGCCTCGTCCACGCCCTGCTCCACCCCCTCGTCGCCCTTCTCGCCCACCCACCAACCACAGCACCACCACCACCTGCACGACTCGCTCTTGCGCGGCCCAGCCACGGCCGATCCGCACAGGGTGGCGGGACAACCTCACAACCGCCCTCTGGTCGAATACGCCAGGGAGGCCCTGAGGACTTGCGGGACTGCTTCGACTTTGACTTCGACGATGACGACGGCCTCGCCGGCGCAGGCACAGCCGACCACGGACGCCGATGCGGACATCGACAGCGATTTCCTCGAGGAGGTGATGCAGTTCGCGACGCAGCTGGAGCAGGACCTCCTCTCCTGAGGCTTAGCACACACAACACAACACAACACACGCACCCACGCACACATACCTCTAAGTCTGCACCTCTTCCCCCCCACATCACCACCCTCAACCCTCAGCACATATTGTACCATGTAACATACAAACACAACACAGAAACCGGCACCATTGCGACTGGTTTTCCACCAAGAGACAAACCAAGAAGAACACAACAGAAGCGTTGATCGAAAAGTCACCCACGATCTTTATGGTGAATCAATTTTGACCACTCCGCAGCCACCTTGCACTGGCCCAATATGGTTCTTGCACCAATGGTCTTCTGCCTGGCTGCAACACCAAACCGCAGCGTTGCGCTTTTATGGTAAGATAACGCAAATCACATTTATGGTAAATCACTTTTGACCACTCCTCAGCCAACTTGCACTGGCCAATGAGGTTTTTGCACCAATGGTCTTCACCTGGCTTCAACAAAAACCGCAGCGTCGCGAAAGGCAACAACACAAAAAAAACCAACAACATGGCGTCGAAGGTGATTCTTATTACGGGCTGCAGCACTGGTGTGGGACTCGCCACTGCCACCTTGTTGGCCAGGAGCGGGCACGTCGTGTACGCCTCCATGCGCAACCTGGCCAAGAAGGACGAACTGCAGAAGGCCGCCGCTGAAGCTGGTGCCCTCCCCGAGAACCTTCACTTCACTCAGCTGGACGTGACCAAGGACGAGTCCGTCGCCTCAGCAGTCGGTACCACGCCATGCCTTGTCCCCAGATAGATATATCTATATATAGGCCTACGTCGCTTTATAGAAAGGGGGTGGGGATATGGTAGTGCCCAAGGCCTACCATAACTATGTTTGTTCAAAGAATAACAACATTACTTCATGGAGTATTTTCATCTTGTAATATGAGTATACTCATCACCACCCTCTCTTGCAGCCAAGGTGGTCGAGGAGCAGGGCAAGTTGGACGTGCTCATCAACAACGCCGGCTTCTCCGTGGCCGGGTCGGCCGACGACACGCCCCTCGCATCTGCCCAGAGCATGTTCGACACCAACCTGTGGGGCATCGCGCGCACCGTCAAGGCCGCGCTGCCCCACTTCCGGCGCCAGGCCGGCGGTCAGATCATCAACGTGTCGAGCGTGGGCGGCCTCGTCGGCTTCCCCTTCCAGGAGTACTACTGCGCGTCCAAGTGGGCCGTCGAGGGCTACACCGAGTCGCTCGCCATCTCCAACGCGCACCTCAACGTCAAGGTGTCGCTGGTGGAGCCGGGCGCGATCCGTACGCCGTTCTTCGCCAACGCGCAGAGCCACGTCGACTTCGCCGATCCGGGGGTGAAGGCCCTGTGGGACCGGTTCGTGGCGGGCATGGCGACGGCCAGCACCAACACGCAGCTCGCGCAGACGGCCGAGGAGGTGGCGGAGGTGATCAAGACCGTGGTCGACGCCGAGAAGCCGCACCTGCGCTACCAGTCCGGCGTCGCGTCGAAGGCCGTCGCCGCCGGCGTGCGGGTCGACCCGACGGGCGACGCCTCGGTGCAGGCCCAGGTGGCCCGCTTCTTTAAGAATTGAGTGGTTGGTTGATGCCTCATACCTATTATTAAAACAAAATGTATTGAAGAAGAAGCCTCCGCGCCCAGTAGCAGAGGGCACACTGTTGTTGTTGTTGTTGAGACTCCAGTCAGTCTTGCTCAAGAGGTTCTACAAAAAGCTAAGCTCAAGGTCGAGGGGGAAAGGGTACCAAAAATGAATTGCAGGCTCAGCTGGTCTCCTTCACGCACTTGTCGATGTTGTACACGTGGAAGCTGGCCTGAGGCGCGATGGAGGCGAGAAGTCTCCGCGTGATGCCCTCCTGCGATATGAGCGCTCCCTCTGCGCACAACAGGCACGTGATCGGTGAGAACACGTCACCGCACGCGAACAGGCAGGATCACTGCTCGGTGTGTGTGCGGTGGTGCGTGTGCTGGGTGGGGGAGCAGTACTCCGCTCGACGAGCACGCAGGCTTCGATTTCGGTCCACTGCCTCTCGTCGCCCACCAGACCCGTGAGGGCCGACTGGAGCGGGGGCAGGGACGGGTTGTAGGCCGCGTTTTCGATGTAGGACCCCCGGTACGTGCTTCCGTCCTTCAAGCGAAGCGCCACACCTGGCAGGTGGCCGCGACACAACACACGCAGAACTCGAGTTAATTAAGAAAATTATCGGCGATGGAAATAGGCGACGAAAAAGTGAAGCGCGTGGCTGTACCCGAGGGGCACTCGGTGTAGGGCGAGTAGGCGCGGCTGGCGGCCTTGACGGCGACCTCGACCAGCCGGGCCTCGGGCGCAGGGTCGGCGTGGGGCAGCTGCTGCAGGGTGGTGATGGCGTAGGAGGGGTGCTGAAGGAGCCGTATAGCGTTGCCCAGATCGTTGGGGCCGAAGCTGAAGGGCAGGAGCTGATCGAGCGAGAAGGTACCCTTGCCGGTAATGGCGATCTTGAGCTCCCCGACGTCGAGCTCGTTGATGAACTGGCGGCAGTGGCCGCACGGCGGCGCGTTGACGCTGAAGCAGACCATACCCTTCTCGTCGGCGTTGACCAGGCGCGCAATGAGGCACTGCTCGCCGTGGATCGAGTCGTTGAGGCTTAAGCCATCAAATTCGATGTTGCCGCCACAGTAGATGTGGCCGGCTTGGCTGAGGCCGACGGTACCGACGTAGAAGCTCGAGATGGGCGGTCGCGCGCGTCGAGCAGCCAATTTGAGTATCTCGTGCAGCAGGTCGAGGTGCGATTCGTACCCCATCTCCTGCATGATCGCCGCTACTCGCTTGGACTCAATGAAGAAAATATTCTCGGGCAGCAGCGCCGCCAGCTTCGGATCAATCACAACGCCATCTTGTTTCTGGGCAGTTGTGTTCTCACAGGCACAACACGGCGTAGCGGTGACTGCGTTGCTCTGGTCCTGGCGGTGCGACATGGGGGGACTACTTTTCTCTGGGGCGTTTCTCTTTGGCTTCGTGGTTTATCAGTCGACAAGTCGACAGATTGATCCCAAAGCAATCGCCATGAAGCCTCAGTTTTACAAGTTCACACAACACAGGGACTGTCAACTCAATTGTCCAACAAACTGATAGATAGAACAATCTTCAGACTTTCCACATCATGCCAACCACGGTACAAATTAAATAAATCGAAATGATAAAACGTCCTTTGTTGGGAGAGAAACAAAGTGTGGTGAAACAGAAGTGTAAGGGGGCGTAGCTCAGTGGTAGAGCAGGCGACTGCAGATCGTCAGGTCCCCGGTTCAAACCCGGGCGCCCCCTTCCTTTTTGGCCTGGTGCGAGTAAAAGAGATGAAATTTTTGTTGGCGGCCTGTCCCAAGCTTGCGGGCGGTTGCGAGTGAAAGAAATAACATTCTGGTTGACTCTACCGACTGAGCTAGGACGGCTTCACCAGAAAGATCTACGAGGACATGTCGTATGAGGCAATGTTTGTGTGTGGCTCAGCATTTTACTAAAAACACCATTTTTTCTCGATGGCAGTAGAACAGACCGCGAAGCCGTCCTAGCTCAGTCGGTAGAGCGCAAGACTCTTAATCTTGTGGTCGTGGGTTCGAGCCCCACGGTCGGCTACCTCCCTTTTGTTAACCAATAACATTTTTTTGGTTACATGCTTGCTGGACCCAGTCAGATCTAGCTATCACTTTGGCTCGGCAAAGATGTTCGAGGGGTAAGGGACAGCGCGGACGGAGATTCTCCACTCACGGCCACTACAACCTCGAACGTGTACGGGACAGCAGACGAGGTGTGCGTGAGCAGCTCGGGCATGGCATCACCAAGTGCAGGGCGCGTGGGGTCGCACTAGGGCCAGCTCACTTGGTCAGGGGAGGTACAGCCTATTGGTTGGTGTTTTTGTTTTCGCCAAGTCCGAAAGTGGCGCACGCAAGATTACAACTCGAGCGCCAACGGCAGGAGTCGTCAGAGGTTGATCTCCTGGCCCAGGGGCCACTCGAGCTGGTACTTAAAGCGGAGCTGGACCTGCTTGCCGGCCTTAATGTCCACCTTCCACTTGACGTTGTTGGACGGCGTCAGCGTCACGCTCTTGTCCGCCTCCTGCGCGTGCCGTCAACCAACCCAACAAAGACGAAAAAGAAAGAAAGGAAACCAGAAGAAAGGGTGATGAGCAGAAAGAGTGGGGAAGGGGGGGGGTCAACGTACGGTGATGGTGGGCTTGAGCAGGCGGACTTTGATCTGGCCGTCGTTGGACTTGGGCAGCTGATCGAACACGGACACGTGCACGTCCGTCGCCTTCGTGTTCTTGATCGTGATCCTGTGCTTCACCGTCTGCGCACAGTGCAGACACACACGACACACGACACACGACACGCACGACACACGACACACACGACACACGACAGGTCAGGGGAAGGTCGTGTGCGACTCGACGCGCCGCGCGCTACAAACACAACACAGGCGCGCAAGGGGGGAGGGATGGGGCGTATGTAAGGTACCTTGAGGTTGGAGCGGCGGATGAGGCCCTGCTTGTCGTTGAAGAAGACGCCCGGCGGGTAGGTCACCTTGATCGCATCATCCGCGCCCAAGAAGATCGCAAACGACTCCGAAGGCGACACCGCCTACACAACACAACACACGACACACACGACACGCACGACACACACGACACACGGTGAGTTAGTTGCTGCGATGGAGGCCTGGCCAGGTGAGGCGGGAGGTACTTGAATGGAGGACTTGGCGACGAAGTTGCCGTCCATGAAGACGTTCATGTCGCCGGCGAGGAAGGCGTACTTGTCCGAGTCGTTGAGGATGCTCGCCTTCAGGTAGGCGTGCGTTGAGAGCTTCGGGAGCAGCACGTACGTGAACTTGGCCTTCAGCTGAATGATCTTGATCGTCACCTGCTCGCCGTGTTCGTGTCGTGTTGTTAGCCGTGTGTGCGTGTCGTGCGGTGTGTGCGGCATCGTGCGGTGGTAAAGTACCTTGTGGGGCTTGCTGTCGGACATGATGGTCGAGCGGCGAGGGATCTCGAAGCTGGTGCAGATGCTGCTCTCCTTGACCGAGCTCGTCATCACACCCACCTGCGACGCCGACGACGAGATTTCGTGATCTACACCGCACACGCCGCACACATGAGAAGTCGTGGAGGAACGCGGAAAGAACTCTGAAGGTCGGGGGACGAGGCGGACCATCGAGCGCCAAGGACTGGAAGTCGTATCGCTCGACCTCGGCCTGCTTGACCATCGCGTTCATCCAGGGCGCACTCCTGTGCGTCGAACGAGCGTGGTACTGCGGCTGCTGTTGGTGCGTGTGTCGTGTGTGTCGTGTGTGTCGTGTGCGATAGTATGATGAGCTTGTGCGGCGTTGGTCCACATTTGGGGGTGGTGAGGTACCTGGAAGCCCACAAACTTGGTCGGCAGGTCCGGCGGCGCGCCTCCCACCGACGGCTGCGCAGTCGAGAGCGCCAGCGGGGCCTATCTCACCGCACGACGCACGACGCACGACACACGACACACGACACACGACACACGACACACGACACACGACACACGACACACGACACACGACACACGACACACGAGGGTGAGTGAAGGAGAAATCGAGAGGGTGGCCGGTGGCGTGGAGGTGGCGCACGTCTTGCCAGTGGTCAAGGGAGTTGTTGGTGATGATGCCGTAGTAGGTGAGGTTGAGCCGCGAGTCGTTGCTCGTCACCCTTACGTCGTACGCCGCGTGCCACGACGCGTCCATCACCACATAAGCCAACGACAGGTCCACCTTTCCACATTTTCACGACACACACCGCACACGACGCACGACACACGACACAACATTAGTTTATGTCGACACCAGTGTGTGCGGTGGCGTGTGCGTACTTCGCCGAGGCCTTCGCTGCTGAGGAGGACGGTGACTTCGTGGACCTCCTCGACGTTGCCGGTGGTGAGGGAGCCCAGGGTGCGCGATACGCGCGTGTGCTGCTCCCGCAGCTCGCGGAGGGTGGCGTTGACCGCCGCCCGCCGCTCGTCGACGCTGGCCAGGCTCGACTGGTAGAAGCTCAGGAAGGCCGTCGCCTGGTCGAGCGCCTGCGGCGGGCACAGGTCGCCCGACGCGCTGCCGCCGGCCTCCGTCTTCCGCGGCTCCGCCAGCCCGCTCGCCCACTTGCCCATCCACTCGCTCTCTTTCTGCACACAACCACCAATCATCGACGTGAGTGTCGTGTCGTGCGTGCGGTGCGTGTCGTGTGTGCCGTGTGTGCCGTGTGTGCCGTGTGTCGTGAGCTGTACGGCGATGCGGGCGAGGCCCTCCTCTTGGCGCGCGATCTGCTCGGCGAGCTGGTCGAGCTCGCGCTGGAGGGTGCTGCGCTCGGAGCCGTCGTCCTTGGTCTTGGGCTCCCACTTGGTGTTGTAGGAGACCTCGAGGATCACGGCCTCGCCCTTGCCCCCCGACACCCGCACCGAGTTGCGGTCCACCTTCGACGACAGCCCCACCACCCGCACCTCCGTCGTTCCTGCACCAATCAATCAAAACAAAAAACAATCAAAAACGTAGAAAAATAAATAAAATAAAATAAGAGAACTATAAATTAAAAAAATAAAAAATAAGATAATAAAAGAGGGGCACCTGCTTCGAGGTCGGTGAGGGCGACGAGGCGGGTGACTTCGGCGCGGTCGTTGTAGACGGTCACACCCTGGACTCGACACGAGGCGAGGGCCACGGTCTGCTTGTGGAGCTGTTCCGCGCCCGGCTCGTTGACCGACGCCGACGTACCGGTGTCCGCCCCTGCCAACTCCTCTTCGCCCACCAGCATGTCTTTGTCCGGCTTCTCCATCTTTTTATATCTTATCTCTTCCGGTGTTCTTTGTTTGTTTGTTGGTTTCGTTGTGTGGCTCTCTTCGTTCGTTGAAGCCGCCGAACTGAAAAGCGTCGTTTCGCCTGGAATGCAAACCCACATTCCAGAGAGACGTTACACATCAACGAAAAGGCCGTTGTTTCGAACAAAAAATGTTGTTTCGAACAAAAGGAGGCACGAGCGTGGAGCTCCAGGTCAAGTGCGTAGTCTGACGCCAGGAGTATGGTGGAGGCGCATCAGAAGATGGAGAATTCCGAGTTGTTCATTTGGGGATTCTCCAGCAGGTCCTGCTCGTGCACGATGTGCGTGATCTTGTTCAATGAGGTCTGGCGCCACACCACACCACGCAAAGATAAGTACATGGCGTGTGTGCGTGTGTGCGTGTGTGCGTGTGTGCGTGTGTGCGTGTGTGCGTGTGTGCGTGTGTGCGTGTGTGCGTGTGTGCGTGTCTACCTCTTGCAGTTCTCCGGCCATGAGCACTTCATCCAGGATCTGGTATGCCTGCACAGGACAAATGCATTTGCACATCAGAAGTCGTTCACGAAGGAAGGAGAGAAGAGGTCTTGTATACCTTATCGAAATTGAAGATGAGATCGAGCTCGCACACATTGCCGAAGTACTTGTCCATCGCCCTCACGAGCAAATGAATGGCCTGCCCGGGGCGACACCACACTCGACCTTCAGCGAATGTAAAAACATACCACACACACAACACAACACACAACACAACACACACCTCGAGAACAATGAGTTCGTTGTCGGCGGTGTCAACGCAGAACACGAAGAACAAGCTGGCGTATCTGTGTGAGGTAGCAAGGGAAGTGAGGTGAGAATGTGATGCATGACGTTCGTGGCACACACCCGCATGTGTTACCTCCTGTAGATGACGGTGAATTCCTTCCACTGAATGAAGTTACTGGTGTTGCGGCCACGACGCAAGATGGTCGTCTCCATCTCTCGCTTCACCCTTCGCCTCTCCTTCTGCAAAATGGTAGGAAACATAAGAATGAATAAATATATAAAAAATGCATAAAACAACATTTAAATAAGACAAAAACAAATCACAAGAATAAATACAATGAGGCTAACGAATTACGAAATAACAGTTGTGCGGGGAGCGTACGGAACCGTGAGGCGTGAACCATTTGTCGAGGCGGGTCTTGCCCTGCGCGTTCATCACGATCACCCAATGCAACTGCGAATGCGAAGTCAGCTGAGTTCTGCCCACAATCATCAATGCAATCAAAAAGCAATCCTACCGTCATAGCTTCCCGAGATGTTTGTTGCCTTGCAAGAGAGTCGCGTGATCTGCAAGATGGAAGCTGGATCTGATGAATGATCTGAACGCGCCGAGAGAAAAAGCACGAGCTCTTTTTTAAAAAGAGAAAAACAAAGAGAAAAAAGAGGCCACAAGATGAAGAGGAGTGCCGCATGCACATCTGCGCCTGGCGCCCAGGCCAGATTGCTGTTGCAGCGCCGGCAGCAGTGGTCAGTGCATAGAGCGCTGGCGTGCACTTCATCAATTCACGTAGGGCCGAATCCGGCTACATTTTCGGCATGGAATGCAGCGACCTTGCGGACGAGGCGCTACACGACAGCCTCCAGCGTGTCAGACGTTGCACGCATCATTGATGGCAGGAAGCTCGCTGACGAAATCGTACGACCTTGCCGCCCCATCCTTGAAATCGTGTAGCGCCTCGTACACATCTCAACTTGCCGGCACATTAGCTGGACGAAATCAGAGCCGAGATGAAGCAGAGCCCAGCGAAGCGACCACCACACTTGGTGATGGTCTGCGTTGCGCCCAACCACGCCATCAAAAGGTTCTGCGCACCACCCACGCGCTATGGGACGTGTGTTGTGCTGACCTACAACGTCCTCGCTTGTCACCACATGAAC